CGCAGTTATAGATCCCTCTTATACTTTGGGAGTGGTGTTGCTCAACAATAACCTAAATATGCATTCTCTCCCAAGTTATGCACACTAAATAGGCACAGCTAATTGAGGATCCTGTAAATTAACTACAACATACACAAAGTTGAACAAATAAAGATTGAGACTAGCAATTTGTATTAACATAAACAAGAAGTTCATCCCCAAATAGGTTCCATCAAAACCTTAGACAAAGGATTTAGCTACTCATAACTATGGGTAAATAAACTAAAACAATATTCATCATAAAACTTGCAAGAAAAATAAAGAGAAGAAGAAACCAAGATGTTTTGGGTGATCTCTCACACTTGTTCTTCTTGCCAAAAATACTCTCCAAAACAATACATGTCTCTCTTGGGCGAAGTCTAGTGTTTAAAATAGGGTTTTGGGCTAAAAATCCCGTGTTTTGCACTTTAGTCCCTGAAATTCCCGCCTCCTGCCGNAATTGAGGATCCTGTCAATTAACTACAACATACACAAAGTTGAACAAATAAAGATTGAGACTAGCAATTTGTATTAACATAAACAAGAAGTTCATCCCCAAATAGGTTCCATCAAAACCTTAGACAAAGGATTTAGCTACTCATAACTATGGGTAAATAAACTAAAACAATATTCATCATAAAACTTGCAAGAAAAATAAAGAGAAGAAGAAACCAAGATGTTTTGGGTGATCTCTCACACTTGTTCTTCTTGCCAAAAATACTCTCCAAAACAATACATGTCTCTCTTGGGCGAAGTCTAGTGTTTAAAATAGGGTTTTGGGCTAAAAATCCCGTGTTTTGCACTTTAGTCCCTGAAATTCCCGCCTCCTGCCGCGGTAGAACCGCGGCCAAACATGGCCTCTGATCTTCCTTCTATCCGCGAACATCCTTCACCGCGGTCGCGGTGGAACCGCGGTAGACTCAGTTTTCTGATTCTTCAGCCTATTTTGCGTGGTTCACTTGGGATATTTCATGGTTGGCCTCTCTTTCTTCATTTTTTTCACTCCAAAAGTGCTCTCTAGCCTTCCTTAGTCATATATAACCTGCAAATCATGAAAAGCACTAATAAGAGCATTTTGTTATCACTTTTATTATTAAAACTATGCAAGAAGGCGGTTATTTAGGGTCTGAATAAAATTAAATTCACCTATTATCACATATCCATGTGTCTACTCCACTGCTATCTCTTGAATCCATCAATATAACAACATTTATTCCGATCTCTTTAATTGGATTTACCCATGAAGGTCTTCCCCAGCCAAAATCAACGTCATAAAATTGGTAGCCACACAAGCTACTCATATGTATTATCTCTATCTCGCCTCCAAAACGTGCTGCAACAAACTCTGCGTTGGCATAGGATATGGTCAAAATTGCCTCTTCTTGATTCTGTTTATCCGCAAATTCTGAAGTCATTTCTGATAATGCTTTCCTTATACAAGTGACCAAAGTGAGCAAATCAGAGCCATCATTCTCACCTTTACACGATGTGCTAATTGCAACAACATTTCCTACACTATGGTTTGGTAATGGAGGGACTAACCTCTTTCGTATATTTACATTGTGCACCAATTGAGATAACCTTCTGATCTCATTCCCTGAAGCAACCATAGCACATTTCCAGATCAAAGCTGATACTACTTCAACGCGAGTAGGTGCTTGTACTGAATCGCTGACAGCCTTAGCCTTGAGTGATGCTATAGTAGAAGCATCAAAGGCAAAAAATTTAGTGACACGCTGCTTATCAAAAAAGACTTTGATTATTACTTCAGGCATAATAGGCTTGGGTGGAACATGGGGAATAGGTGGTGGCAAGAATTTAGCAGCTGCAACAAATTCTGGCACCAGATTATCGGGGCTACCTCGAGCAATTGTTGACCAGGCGCTGATGAGGGTGCACAACGTGGCACGATCAGCAACTTTATGAGAAGCACATATACCAATAGCCATACCTCCACACTCAAAAAAAGTGACTTGAACAAGCAGGGGATATAAGGCTGAATCAAGCAGTAATGATCCATCTTCAACAGTACTAGGGAGGAACTTTTTATTGACATCTGCAGGCTTTCTAAGAACATCTTCCAACTGATAGTTATGAGCAAAAGCCTCGTACAAAGGCACCCCGTCGTCGTTGCATTCAACTAAGTTGTACTTAATTCGACCAGCAAAAGGGTAAAAGCGAGCAAGAGTTTGAGACAAAGATTTCTTCAAAAGAAGTAATCTTGATGAATGGACTGATCTTGCTTGCTCATAGGAGTATAACTCACCACCATCTGAATGAGGAGAAGGATAAAATAGAGCTAAGGGAACAGGTATGGTTAATACGTGTTGATCCAAAATAGAGAATTCGAAGCATCTAAGATGATTAGGAGTAGGAGAAAGAGGTTTAATGAGCTCAACAGAAACTATCTCGATCTTTCTTTCCATGACTAACTTTAGTTAATTGATCTCTGGCTACTTTTGCCTTAAAGTTGTTGCACACAATTATACAACTAACAACTATTAGGTATAATTTGCTTTTATATATATAAGTGATATATCATGTTTGTGCTTTTTATATAATTCCCAAGTCCCATCTATGGAGTATCAAATTGTAGTACAATGTATATTTTTTCTGATTCTAATTTTTTAATAAAAGGTGAAGTATCAATTGCTAGAATATATGAGCTGTAAATGGTTATCTTAATCTTAAATTAATCCTTGGTAGTTTGCCTTTGCCCTACCACGAATATTAAGTTATTAGTCAACGACAGGATATGGGGAGTTTTTGACCAATATTATCCCTTATCTTTGAGGGTAGGTCTATTTTGGTCCCTCAAATATAACTTTGAGCATATTTAGTCCTTTAAATATGCTAAAATGGAGCACCTTTAGTCTCACTGACAAAATGTGTTCAAAAACTAACGGTGCTAACCAACTCTGATTCATAAATCGAATCTTCTGCTCTGAAGCAACACGGTTCCTTTACTTCTATTGGATAACGCAAATTATCACTTTAATTTCTCATTTTTAGATAATGTCTTCTAAAATTTTGACTTTCACCTTCTGTGCCAGTTTTCAATGAGAAAATGACATTGTATAGCTGCTGTAAAAATAATAGCTGAAAAAATATATAAAATTTGTATATTATTTTGTATATATATATACACACACTTTTATGTTAATATACAAAAATTATACAAATTTTATATACTTTTTCGGCTACCAGATGTAAATAGTTTCTAGTGCAGGCTAAACGTGATAATACAATCTGGTTATTTGTTTGCTTCAATATATGCCTAGAAGTGATCTTGGCAGCTCTATTTTTTTCAAATTTTAATTTTTCTTTTTGGAAAAATCAACCGAGTTTTTAAAAGTAAAAGTTTCAACATTAAAATCTTAAATTTATCATCACTGTACTATTAGTGGGTTTTGGTTCATAAAATATTTTCGATAAGTAAATTAAAAAGACAGTGAGTGTCGAAACCAATCCCGTAATTGATTTAGGACAGATTCTGTCAGTGAAATTAAAGATGCTACATTTTAGCATACTTAAGGGACTAAATATGTTCAGAATTATATTTGATAGACCAAAATAGACCTACCCTCAAAGATAAGGAACAATATTGGCCAAAAACTCGGATATGGGGTACCAAGTGATCTTTTAATTCTTATAGTTAAACCTCTAGGCTTGTAGCCAAATTTCTTTTACGCACGTCTCCTTTACGGACAACCTTTTTACATACTAAATCTTGTCCAAAATGTAGCATTCGCGCTCCTTTTTGTTTGTGACAAATGGACGGTCCCGATTGAATGAAATAATCCAACGGTTTAAGTTCATTTTCTTTAGAGAATTATAAATAAAGAGCTAAAAAAAAATTGTACATAACCAACACGGATCCAAACGAGAATCGAGAATGGAGAAAATTAAGGCGTACCTATTAACAAGCATAAATTGCATTCAATAAATGTGTCTTATAAATTGCATTCGGCAAATGCGACTTATAAATCGCATTTGGAACAAATAAATATGTAGATATGTATTAGACTCTCACTTTGGCCCCTAAAGTGTTTAAATGTTTTAGTTTAGTACTTGTATTACTCTTCTTCTTCTTTGTTATTGTTTTAGAAAACAACACATAAAAAAGATGAGACTTATATTTATGATGATTTTTCTATTTTTTTTTAATTCCTCCCATTCTCAATTTCCCTTTTTTGGACTTTCTTATTAGTTACATATAAGTCTCTTTTAAAAAAATTAGGCGAAATACATAAACGGCCCCTTTAAGTTGTCCTCAACGATCACGCTAACACCTCAACTAAGCCGATTTTCAATTGGACACTTCAAGCTTTGAATAAAATAAGTCAACTAAATACCTCATGCTGACATGACATATTGTGTGTTTCACAATCCAATTTCAGCGTGTGAATGGATTCAAAATACTAACTAAAGTTTGCCCCCACCCCATACGCTGCATCAACCAGCCATCCTAAAAGGTCACTCCGGCCACTGTACCACCCAACAAAACAACTCACCATCCACCAGTAAAAAGGCAGCCCAACTACCAGAACACAAATCCGGTCGACTACTACATTAAAGAAGATAAGTCTACCTTTTCTGTATTAAAAATCATACTTTGTTAGAATAATAGTAATATCATATCAATCTTATTCTCTTGTTCTTCATTTACGGCACTGTGACCGGCACGTTGATTGGTCCATGAAAAATAGGCTCAATTACTTTTGAAATCAAGGAAAATATGAATACTTCAGAAGCCAAATATGCTCAATACCACGGTCCACCAAAAAAATTTCAGATCCACTTCTACCAAATTCAACATCTCCAAGTTGATAATCACTTTCAATAGCTCCCAAACAATCTCACATCACAGCCAAGGTGGCAAAACTAGTGGTGGTGCTTGAAACACAATGGGTTGGTTAACGCGGGTGAGGGCTGGGTATTTAAATTGAAGGAGGATGAGGAGGAAATCTGAAATGAAAATAAGGGGGAAGAAATATGGAAAAAAGAAAATCAAAGAAGGAGGTATGGAATTGAAAATGGTGATTAAGGATAAAAAGAGGAAATAGTTGGTGATAAAAACTGGAGACGAGGAGGAAGGGCCGGCGGTGATTCATAGAGACGTGATTAAAGGAGCTTTTTTCATAATTATTGTTTTTCTTTCTTTTTAAAATTATTATTAATGTTTTTTTTTTGTTGTTGTGTTATAATAGGTGAAGAATTTTTTAATCAAAATTACACATGGTATTTTCTCATTTGTTCGTTTGACATGAATCCGAGAGTGTATTTCACGCGAGGTGGGCTGATGAGGTCGGGTGTTTAGTTGACCTACTTTATTGAAGGCTTGAAGTGTCTAACTGAAAATGGGCTTAGTTGAGGTGTTTGTGTGATCATTGAGGACAACTTAAAGGGCCGTTTATGTATTCGCCAAAAAATTCATATAATTCTTCAATAGAGGATAACAACAACAACAACAACAACAACAACAACAACAACAACAACGACCCAGTATAATCCCACAAGTGGGGTCTGGGGAGGGTAATATGTACGCAGACCTTACCCCTACCCCGAAGGGTAGAGAGGCTGTTTCCAGGAGACCCTCGGCTAAAAAAAGCAACAGGAGCCGATATATTAGTACCATAAAAATGCATAATAAAATAACAGCAATATAAGAGATATGAAATACAGAATACGAAATACGAAATAGATGGCTGGTATAGTAAAACTAGCAGGTAAAGCCCTGCATCAATAGACGACCAATGACATTCTTAGTCTAACTCCTAACTGGTTAGTCTCACTCTATTGTGTTGTAGAAATATTTACAACTTTCCCCTAACCTACAACCTTAATACTCGCCCTCCATAATTCCTTATCAAGGGCCATGTCCTCAGTAATCATAAGTCGTGCCATGTCATGTCTGATCACCTCTCCCCAATACTTCTTAGGTCGCCCTCTACCTCTCCGCGTCAGCCAGTCGCTCACACCTCCTCACTGGTGCATCAGTGCTCCTCCTCTGAATGTGCCCGAACCATCTGAGTCTTACTTCCCGCAT